TATCCCAGGTCCTTGGGAAGGACTCGATAGGTGGATAAAAATGCCAAATCTAGTCTAAACAACTGGCTCACTGTGCGACCAACAACAATAGCTATTTAAATAAGACGCCCACCCAAATTATGACTTCCTAAAAAGTTTCTGTCTACAAAATAGAACACTTCCTTTGAAAATAATGATGACCAAAGCAGGAGAACCTCAAATAAGGGAGTAGAAAAGTAAGAGAAGCCAGACAGTGTAGACCAACTTCCACTCATGGAATCTATTTCCCGCCTGAGTGCACCCATATAGAATCAAATGGCAACTATACAGCCAAGATTGTTATTCAAGTGAAATTATGTATATATTCCTTACGATACCTTTTGGCTCAGCAGGACAACATTAACCTACAATGTTAACATGCAAGCAATTATTTTATGCTATAATATTCTGAATGTGTATGCATGTATATAGCAGTAAAAGAAACTACAGATAACAATAAGAAAAAAGAATAACCAGCCAAAGCCCAGGTAAACAAAACCCAAACCATTCCCGACTTTCCATTTTTTTTCTAAAACAAAATAATTCCAGCTGACCACTAGGAGCAAGGGCAAAGTATTACTATCCCCAGGGGTGACCACAACTTGGTACTACTGCTAAAAAGTGTTGTCCTGAAGGTCTAAAGTACAACCCATACTTGAAACACTAGAGGAAATCTGAGTATGGGTCTGAAATACAGCTTGAGGAACAGGTATTAAACAAAACAATGAAAACAGGCCTGACATCAGGATGAAGAAGCTTGAGGTATCTAACTGGCTGTCCAGAACCCAAAGAAAGAGACCATTACAATACTGCCACCTCAGACCTATATCCAGCATAGCTGGCCTTGAGCCACAATCTCAGGTTCACAATGCCTGAAGTAGTTCTTTTAAAGCTCTCCAAAGTGTAGGAACTGTAACTGCTAGACACCAGGACAGCAGTTGAAAATTAGGGCAAGTTGCAGCCACAACATTTCTGGAGGATATCAAGCTAGGTAATATTGTCCCAAAACAATATTATCTCAGAAGTTCTATGGGAATTTTCTAAGTTTATAGTACTGTGGCCAAGTGCAGATATACCACTTGAACACTTTACCTGTGTCCCTCTAAAATCCTGAATGGAAGCTGGTTGCATTATGAACATTAGAACTTTAGGAGGAAGACAAATTGATGTTTTCAGTCTTGGCACTGATGCTAAGGAATGTCACTGGTTTAACCATCACCTCCAGAGGCCAATATGGCCACATGTTTGGTGCCTAGTGATTAATAAGTTCCTTAGACTGGCCTTCAGGCAAGCTGAATCATTAATCTATTCTGCCTGGTAATTCCATTATTAGACTATTCCTCATGCTGTTTGATGCTGCCTTGCAATATAATCCCATGAGTTGTTACTCAAATGTAAGTCCCACTCTATGTTTAGCTGGGGGTAACAGCGTTCAGGACTGCTGTTCCAAATACTGCTCATCTTACAGAAACAAAAGAACAGAGGTTTTTAAAAGGTTTATATATTGTTTATATAGATGCATATATAGCTTGAAATTGCTATATTCACCCGCTGGAGCTAATTTCGTGCTTCAGTACTCCCTTTCACTTGCACGTTGTATATAAGGACTACACGTATGAACTTGCAGAGAGCAGTTAGTGTTCAAAAGATGACTCCCTCGCCTCCGTCTGCTTAAGCTGCTAGGGCGGCAAAAAGCTGCTAGCCTGGTTGGCTGTCGCAGGAGTATGAAAACGGAGTATGGAAGAGATCCATTCCGTCAAAAATCCGCGGGAAGCGACATCGGTTCGCCCTTCCAGTTACTCACTGTGCGCGAGCAGAGAGGTCCATGGCGGACTCCGACCAGGCGGCTTCCATCGTAACTGGCAAGAAGCACAGGGGAAAATTCAAATCGTCCCGCGCAGTCGCACAGACGTTCTACGTTTATCACGATTGGCCGGTGTCCCAGGAAGAACAACCAATCAGAAGGAGGAGGGCTTGATCCTATATCGAAAGCTTCGTGCCTCCATAGAGAGAAGGAAAAAGGTTGGCGCAGCGCTTGATTTTCACTTCCAGTTGTAATCTGAACCCCGCCATACGCGTGGCAGGGAAGCTATAGGGAGTATCCTCCGTCTCTCTAGAGCCCAATCCCATACTGTATTCTGGTTTTGGCTCGTCCGCTCAACTGGCAGCCGGAAATATAACTAATGTTTAATTGCAGACTTACGAAATATAGAATGAGATTATTAAAGAAAGAGTTGTTCCACCCAGGAATCAATGTCAAATGCTTGCAAATATTTATATTGCATCCGTACACACGTTTGTATAGATGTAAGATTAATTTTGTTCAGACCTGCAACATTTGCTTTTTTTCAGTTCTTTTCTCTAGTTTTTATGTGAATATTGAGTATGCCTACACGTGTGTATTTGTACTTACATATATTATGTAAACGGTCCTTGCTCTGATCTCTTTCGGTAGAAAGTCATGTTCTTGTCATGACTACTTTCTAGACTTGCACTAAATGAACTCTAGCTATTAAGCTATGCCCCGGGATATTTCTTCGCTGTTAAGGTCCTCTGATGATATTTTTTTGCTATTGTTTCATTGTTACTAACCATTCTTTTCTGAAATAAATTTGAATTTTAAACTATTTCAGAAGAGGGTAGCAAATGGTAAATTTTAAAATATATATGTATATACAACATGCCATGCCTGTTTCTTGATCATGAAACTGAGCAAACTCAAGGAGGCAGTGAAGGACAGGAAGGCCTGGCGCGGAATGGTTCATAGGGTCACAAAGAGTCGGACACGACTTAATGACTGAACAACAAAAATGCCTGTTTCTTAACAAATTTAGAAAGCTTCACCCTCTGGGTGAATTAGCCTGTTTAAAATTGGAAATAGTTCTTCCATTAGCAGCAGAAAGTCAATTAATCCTTTGCAACAAATAATAAGACGTTTTGGGGCATTTTGTAGTGCAATCCTATACAGATCCAAGTTAAGCCTATTTATTTTAGAGGAGGTTACTCCCAGGTAAGTGTTTATTGTTTTTTATTTGTGTACACAGTTGTGTGGGGAAGAGGGATTGCAAAAAGGCAATATAAAAATAACAAGAAATAAGTATTATAAGATTGCAGCCTTAAGACTAAGACATTCGTGACTGCAGATACAGTATACAGCTTGTATTTCAACACTTTGTTTTTTATTTATGTATCCAATTTATATGGCCACCCATCTCACAAAAGGTGACTCTGGGTGGCTTACAACGAGATAAAAAACAATAAATATATATAAAAAAACAATCATTATTAAAAAGCTTTTAAAAATCACTAGGCATACAGGAGATTAGTTGTTAACAACAATAATGGAGCCACCTCAAGATTTCACTGGTCCCCTGGTACCCCAGGCCTGATGACATAGCCAGGTCTTGAGGGACTTCTGGAAAATAAGTAGGAATGGAGCTAGCTTCACTCGGGGAGAAGACTGTTCCTTAAGGCGGGCGCCACAGCAGAGAAGGACTGCCTCTTGGGACCCGCCAAGTGTAGTTCCCTAACAGACAGGACCCACAGCATGCCTCTTCTGCCGGATCTGATGGGACAGGCAGATGTAATCGGGGAGAGGCAGTCCCTCAAATAACCCAGCCCCTTTACTTTTTTTACCTGTTTGTTCAAAGGAAGTCTCACTGAGTTTAGTGAGTTTACTGTTAAGAAAGGACTTATAGAATGCAGCCTCACATTCTTTAGTCAGCTATGCCTATACGGATAGTCTTCATTTAGCAACGACTATTGGGACCACAGCAGCTTGGTTGTTAAGTCAAGTGGTCACTAACTGAAACTGACTATCTTTATGATCTTACTTCAACTTTTCTTTGTGAACCTACAAAGATCATAAATCCGAGGACTGGTGATAAAGTTACTTTTTCATCACCATTGTAAGTGCAAACAGTTGCTAAATGAAGATTACCTGCAATAGCAATTTTGTGTGTGTTGGGGGAGTGCCTTCAAGTCAGTCCTGACTCCTGGAGACTACCTGGACAAGTCCCTGCAGTTTTCTTGGCAAAATTTCAGAAGTGGTTTGCCATTGCCTGCTTCCTAGGGCTGTCAGAGAGTGACTGGCCCAAGGTCACCCAGCTGGCTTTATGCCTATGCCAGGACTAGAACTCAGGGCCTGTTTTCTAACCTGGCAACTTAACATATATACCAAACTGGCTCTCATAATAGGGTCCCAATAGTCGTTGCTAAATGAAGATTACCTGCAATAGCAATATTGTGTGTGTTGGGGGAGTGCCTTCAAGTCAGTCCTGACTCCTGGAGACTACCTGGACAAGTCCCTGCAGTTTTCTTGGCAAAATTTCAGAAGTGGTTTGCCATTGCCTGCTTCCTAGGGCTGTCAGAGAGTGACTGGCCCAAGGTCACCCAGCTGGCTTTATGCCTATGCCAGGACTAGAACTCAGGGCCTGTTTTCTAACCTGGTACCTTAACCAATATACCAAACTGGCTCTCATAATAGCAATAGGTTGTTATTAAAGATACAGTACTATAAACCCTGGGGGAGCATCCCAAGGGCCACAGGTATTTTTAGATCTCCTTGAGGGAAAAATCCACCCTCTGCTAAAAAAGCCCAAGGTGCAGAGATGCAAGCAACTGGACCTTCTCTAATGCCAGAATTCAGTGGTATAAAACAGACCAAAAAAAGCAATCTGGGAGCATTCCATGGGTGTGCTGAGAGAGGTTACGGATCCACTATGTCCAAAACCATTACTGGAACAAGGGGGAAATGATGCCAGTTCTGAATCTGGCATTGTTTTTTTCCCTTCTCATCAGAATCAATTCGAAGAAAAGGTAAAATAAAGGATAGATAGAGTGGGGGGAACCACATGTCCTGACTTTCTGCTTTATCTTGGTCCCTCCCTCACTTTGCCTGTTCTGTGTCTTCAATATAGTTTGGATTCTCTTTTTTTCCTTTAAGATGCCATGGAGCATACTTCTCTGTAATTCAAAAAATTGTAATGCACTTAGAAGGCTACACATAGATAGATTTCAATAAATATTACTATGTTTTATCTAAAGTATTTTTTTATGTTGAAGTAGCATTTTTTTAATGAAGCTATGTGATTTATAGAAGCTGCTAAGTGCCTTTGGTGCTTTTCTCTGCATTATCTGACCAATTAATCTCAGCTAGTCTTTAATGCAGTCAGGTGTGTATGGTTGTAGCCTAGGCTTCTGTTTTATATAAATGCTTTTTTCAGATTTAATAAGAAACATCTGGATGCCAAGTGGGCCATGCCAAGATTGACAATTTGATTGGCTAGAGGATATCTTTCTGGTAGCTGGCAAAACCTCATTATATTCTTTTTGCATACATTATTTTCAGCTTCATCTGACCAAGTCCCTAGCAAGCATGTGTCATTTCCCACATCATAAAATCATGTGCTGGATCATGAGCTTTGTTTGACCTTGGCCTAAGGAGATATATGAATAATGGGTATCTGTTGCAGCTACCTACATCTGAGGAATATAAATATAAGGAAAAATTTCCTGATGGTGAAGTCTGTAGAACAGTGGAACAGTCTACCTTTGGTTTTTAAGAAGAGGCTGGACAGCCACCTCTCAGGGATGGTTTAATTGGTTTTCCTGCACATTGCAGAGGGTTGGACTAACTAACCCTTATGGTCCCTTCCAGATCCACAATTCCATGATTCTATAAGCTGAGCCACTGTGGTTAGTAAGCCATGGTTTATATCTTAATGTATGTGTGAAATTGTCATTTATTTAATAAACCATGGTTAGGTAAAGCAATGGTCAGCCCAATGTGTGAATCTTGTCATTCTCTTTGGTCATACTCTACCTCATAGAGTACCTGGCTACAGAGGAACCATGTTTATCAAACTGTGCTCTTTGGAGAAAACCTGGGCTAAAACAGAGCAAGCCAAAATTATTAACAACAAACTCATTGTTATGAATTGATTCTTACACAGTATAACCAAATAGCACCACAGATTACAAGAGTAATTATCAGCAAATGTGGAGGATCTTCCATGTTTACAAACATGAGAAGGTCTTAGGAAAAGAAGGATTCCTGGAAAATAGCTGGATGCGGCCTGTTGCAAGGGGGAATGGAATGGAGTATGCTGGGAAAGGGCGTGGCTGGCAGGTTCCATGTGTGCACTTCTCCTCTTGAAAGTAAGCAAGTCTAAGCTGATGCCAGAGCCTGCTTGGGAACCATATGAGAGCTAGTAAGAGTGGGGGGTCTGAGCTTAATAAATAAATCCCCGGTGGTTGTAGCTCTTTGTCTGGGAGTGATCATGCAGAAAAGCTCTTAAATAAAGGGTAGATGACCTCTGGACTTGCTTTATGACTTACATTTTCCTGTATGAACTGCAGGAAACAACATGTGATATATGAATGGTAGCCCAAGTGTATTTTTCACCACAAGTACACATATCAGGCAGGCTGAAACAGCTGCTAGCTGGGAAGAGACCTAAAAATGTGGCTTTGCTATGTCCCACAGGGCTTTGAGCTAGTCTGACCCAATCAAGTTGTAAACAAGACCAAACATTTGACAAAGTGTCCAGAGTATTTCAGACACGCTTTTTAAAAATGCAGCAGTAACAACTGGTGAACGATGTATTAGTCACTGACTAGAGTAAAAATCCATTTGGTTTTAAGATTACCTGCACTGGAATTATGAATTGTCAGTTGGGTCTGCTTTGGTTAAGCTACTTTCAGTTTGAGAGTTGGGAAGAGCAAGGCAATCCTTTCCTTTTTCCATAGAAACAAGGTCTTTCAATGAAACAGCCTTAAGCAGCTGTCCCTGTCAAATTTCCGTTCTTCTTTTCTTTGAAAGATGATGAGCTGTTATCTTCATAACAGAAGGTATCCCCAGAACTGCCCTTTAGAGAAGACTTATTTCAGAACTTCCACCTACACAGGAAAGAAAGATTTCCTAGAGTGTAGGTGGTGTCTTTCTCT